TTGGGGAAAAAAAACGAAAAAAAAGGTTACCGCGGACCGAGACGTAGTGGCGCCAACGAGGGCGAGAAACGATGAACCTCTGCGGTCGTTGCCTCTGGCCGCAAGCGCCAGCGAGATGCCTGCCGGAAACTTGTGGTGCCCTTTCTTTCTATTGTGTGTGTGTGTGTTTTTTTTATCTGTTTCTCTGTCTCCATCCGTGACTCGGCGCCTCTGGAAGTAACACGCGGGGCGTTCTCGTCCTCTGGCCTCGCCGCAACCGCCGGAGGGCCACCTCGCCCGCACCACGAACCAAGCAGGTGTGAAGTGCCGGGGGAGGGGACGAACACCCGATAACCAACCGAAGCAACTCAGTGCGACGCCCTAGTCGAGAGGGCTGGGGGAACTTCTTTTTTTTTTGTCCTTGTTTGTTTGTGCCTGTGAAGCAAGTAAAAACAAGCCGAACTATGTTCTCGAGGAAACGCGTGCTGCTCCGTTCCCCCGTGGTGAGGACCGGTGCTGCGGCTGCGCTGCGGCATGGGCGCACTGCGCTGGCCGCCACCACCACGGCGGCGTCTGGTGCTTGTTTCGCCGCTGCCGTCCCCGTGCGTTGGGCGTCCTCTCTTGTGAACGGCAACGCCTCGACGCTCACGCAGCAGCGGCGCTTTATGGAGGGGGCGGACGCTCGCTCCTCCGCGTCGGTGGTCGTCGTCGACGCTGCGGCTGCCTCCAAGGAGCGTGACCGCATGGCGCGCGAGATGTTGTCCTGCAACCTCCCCCGCCCTCAGGCCGACGAGCGCACGGTGGTGACGCTGAAGGGACTGGAGTACACCGTGCCCTACACCCTTCGCTACGTGCTAGAGGGGGCGGAGGGGACAAAGGAAGCCGAAGCAAAGGTGGCAAACGTACTCCAAGGCGCCTTTAACATGGTGGACCAGTACTTGAATAACTTTAACCCCGAGAGCGAGGTGTCGTTGGTAAACACGCTGCCCGTCGGGGAGAAGCACGTCATGTCGGAGCACCTGCGGCGTGTGATGGAGTGCTGTGTGCGGGTGTATAAGTCAAGCGGCACCTGCTTCGACCCCGCCACGGCCCCACTGGTCGAGCGCCTCCGTTCCATGATGAAGGCTGAAAACAATGCCGACGCCCTAACCCTCACGGAACAGGAGGTGGAGCGCTTTTCACTTCCGCAGAGCTTCGAGATTGACGCCAAGGAAGGCACCATTGCCCGCAAGCACGAGCACGCCAAGCTGGACTTGGGCGGAGTAAACAAGGGCTACACCGTGGACTGCGTGGTGGAGGGGCTGAACGCGGCGGGTTTACCAGACGTGATGTTTGAGTGGGGCGGCGACTGCCGTGCGTCGGGCGTGAACTACCAGCATCAGCCATGGGCCGTCGCCATTTCCCGCCCCCCGTCTGTCGCCGAGGTTGTACAACGCGCCAAGGGGGAGCCGGTGGAGAGTAGTGAAGGTCCCTCTCTGCTGCGCGTCATGTACCTCAACGACGAGGCCTTGTGCACGAGTGGCGACTACGAGAACGTCGCGTACTGCCCCAAATACGGCGTCCGCAGCAACATCTTCGACTGGAAGAAGAAGGGGTTGCTGGAGCCCGTTGAGACCGAGCTGTCCCAGGTCTCCGTGAAGTGCTACAGTGCAATGTACGCCGATGCGCTTGCCACGGCGGGCCTCATCAAACGCGACATCGCCAAAGTGCGGTATATGCTGGAGGAATGGCGCAACTCGCGGAACCGCGTCACGAACTACACAGCCTACATCCGTGAGAACGAGCGTGTGGCTCGTATGTTCGAAATCGCAACGGAGGACGCCGAGACGCGCAAGAACCGCATTGCCGGTTCGCTCCCCTCCCGCGTCGTCATTGTGGGCGGCGGCCTCGCCGGGTTGTCGGCCGCCATTGAGGCGGCAGCCTGCGGCGCCCAGGTCATCCTGCTGGAGAAGGAGCCGAAGCTGGGCGGCAACAGCGCCAAGGCGACCTCCGGCATCAATGGCTGGGGCACACGCGCGCAGGCGGTGCAGGACGTCCAGGACAGCGGGAAGTACTTTGAACGCGACACGTATCTCTCCGGCCTCGGCGGCACCACCGACCCGGGCCTTGCGAGCACCCTCTCCATCAAGAGCGGGGACGCCATTGCCTGGCTCTCCTCGCTTGGCATCCCCTTGACGGTGCTCTCGCAGCTCGGCGGGCACAGCCGCAAGCGCACACACCGCGCCCCCGACAAGGCGGACGGGACGCCGGTGCCCATCGGCTTCACCATCATGCGGACGCTGGAGCACCACATCCGCACGAAGCTCGCCGATCACGTGACGATCATGGAAAACACCGTCGTCACCTCATTGCTGAATGAAACCAAAGGCCAACCTGATGGTGGACGCGAAGTGAAGGTTACAGGTGTGACGTACGTGAAGGCAGGCGAGGAGGCCGCTCCTCCAATGAAGCTCACCGCGGACGCCGTCATTCTCGCCACTGGCGGATTTTCGAACGATCGCATGTCGCAATCACTCCTCCGCGAGTTTGCGCCGCATCTGTCTGCCTTCCCCACAACCAACGGAACGTGGGCCACGGGTGACGGTGTCAAGCTGGCACGGCGCCTTGGTGCGACGCTTGTGGACATGGACAAGGTGCAGCTTCACCCGACAGGCCTCATCGACCCGAAGGACCCTGCCAGTGCAACCAAGTTCCTCGGCCCGGAGGCGCTGCGCGGGTCGGGCGGTGTGCTGCTAAACAAGAGGGGCGAGCGGTTTGTCAATGAGCTCGAACTCCGCTCCGTGGTCTCCAAGGCGATCATGGATCAGGGTGACGAATATCCGGGCTCCAACGGGAGCACCTTTGCCTTCTGCGTGCTCAACGATGCGGCGGTAAAACTTTTTGGCGTCAATGCGTTGAACTTCTACGCAAATACGTTGGGTTTGTTCAAGCGTGTGGAAGATGTGGAAGGGCTGGCGCAGCTCATTGGTTGTGAGCTGTCAACCCTGCGGAGGACGCTGGAGGCGTACGAGACTGCCTCCAAGGCCAAGTCTGTGTGTGCGCTTACCGGACGGCTCGTCTACCCGTGCGTGGTGGGCCCGCAGGGACCCTTCTACGTCGCCTTTGTGACGCCGTCGATCCACTACACGATGGGCGGCTGCCTCATCTCGCCTGCGACAGAGATTCTGCGTGAGCGCCACTCTGCGAACATTCTCGGGAATCAAGTCCCCATTCTTGGCCTGTTTGGCGCGGGTGAGGTGACGGGTGGGGTGCACGGCAGGAACCGACTCGCTGGTAACTCGCTGCTGGAATGCGTCGTCTTTGGCCGCATTGCGGGCGATCGCGCTGCGACGATTCTGCAGAAACGCTCGCTTGCGCTTTCCAAGGACAAATGGACGTCGGTCGTCGTGCGTGAATCCCGCTGTGGTGAACAGTTTGGCACCGGCTCGCGTGTCCTGCGGTTTAACCTCCCCGGCGCCCTGCAGCGGTCTGGGCTGCGCCTCGGCGAGTTCATTGCCATCCGCGGCGAGTGGGACGGGCAGAAGCTGGTTGGCTACTACAGCCCCATCACACTGCCGGACGAGCGGGGCACCATCTCCATCCTCGCCCGTGGCAACAAGGGGACGCTGCGGGAGTGGATTTCCGCCATGCGTCCTGGGGACTCGGTGGAGATAAAGGGCTGCGGCGGCCTTCGCATTGAACACAATGTGGAGAAGAAGCAATTTATGTTCCAAAAACAGCCTATCCGACAGTTTGCCCTCGTTGCGGGAGGCTCAGGCATCGCACCGATGCTGCAGATTATTCGCGCTGGGCTGAGCCGCCCCTACGTGGACAAGACCGAGTCCATTCGTCTGCTGTACGCCGCCGAGGAGTATGAGGAGTTGACGTACCGCGACACTTTGAACGGGTACGTCAGGGAATTCCCTGACAAGTTTGCCTTGGAATTTGTCCTCAACAACCCGCCGGAGGGGTGGACCGGTGGCGTGGGCTTCATAGACCGCGCGTCCTTGCAGAAGACGCTGCAGCCCCCGTCCAACGACCTCCTTGTTGCCATCTGCGGCCCCCCGGCAATGCAGCGTGCGGTGAAGAACGAACTGCTGATGATGGGCTACAGCAAGGCGCTCGTGCACACGGTTGACGATGACATGGAGTCTGCGTAGAAGCCACACACACAGAGAGATACATATATACCTCTCTCTCTCTTTCTCCATCGACTTCTATGTGTGTGGGAACGAGCGGGGAGGGGCAGAAGAAGGCGCATCCACCCCCGTGGTAGGGGGAATAAAAAAGTAACTAAGAACTGGTAATTTGGTTAGTACGAGAAGAGCAAACTGAAAACGGAATGCTAAACGCCCCACCCTCGTCTAATAGGGACTAATAATTCGTAGCAACTGCAAATTTTTGGGGGATATCCTCGTTTTTTTGTTTTGTTTTTTCGTCCTCGTTGTGAGTGCGTGTGTGGGTGTTTTTTTATGTTTTTATGTTTTTTTTTTGAAGTGGGCAAAGGGGGTTGTTGTGCGTTGGTCATTGGACACCCGCCGCTTATTCTTATTGCTGTCGTTGGTTAGCAGCCTCGCAAAGGGAATCGCCTGGCCTCGCGTCTGCCGAATCAAAAGAAAAGAAAAGAAAAACTGGTAATAATGGTATATCACACTGCAGTGCTTCTGCCTCTCCCAAGGCAGACACCGTCCGGCTTGTGGCGGAAGGAGCGTGAGGCGTTGAGGGCCCACGCAACCCGGGGCCCCAGTCCCCGCTTACGCCGCTTGCGCGGGGGAGCGTGTGGGGAGGCGGGGCGTTCGCCAGCGCGTCTACACCTCTTTTATCTTGCCCCTTTGGGTGATGTGTTGTTAATACTTGGAGCCCTTTGTTTTTGTTTTGGTTTGTTTCGTTTTTTATTTGGACCCACCGTCCTTCTCTCTCTCTCTCTCCAACGGCGGAATGGAGCAGTTGCATCCCTGTGGCCGCAACGGCTTTAAAAAAAATAAAGAAAGAGGAGCGTACCTTATGAGCTTTACTTTCCCCACGCGCCTTTAAGGCTTAAGTGGAACTGTAAGACGCACACAATGTCGTCCTTTTTTTTTACCCGTAGTGTGGGCATACATGTGTGCCCTCTGCCCTCTGACGATGCACGCCGGACGCTGTTGTCCGTGCCTTGGCTGCTGCTGCTGTCGTGCGATTGACTTGGTTTTCGTTCTTCGGTTTTTTTCTCTCCCCGCGTCGTTGTGTCCGGTACATGTACATATACATGCTTGTGTGTGTGTGTTTGTGTAAATGTGTTTCTCTGTCTCCATCCGTGACTCGGCGCCTCTGGAAGTAACACGCGGGGCGTTCTCGTCCTCTGGCCTCGCCGCAACCGCCGGAGGGCCACCTCGCCCGCACCACGAACCAAGCAGGTGTGAAGTGCCGGGGGAGGGGACGAACACCCGATAACCAACCGAAGCAACTCAGTGCGACGCCCTAGTCGAGAGGGCTGGGGGAACTTTCTTTTTTTTTTGTCCTTGTTTGTTTGTGCCTGTGAAGCAAGTAAAAACAAGCCGAACTATGTTCTCGAGGAAACGCGTGCTGCTCCGTTGCCCCGTGGTGAGGACCGGTGCTGCGGCTGCGCTGCGGCATGGGCGCACTGCGCTGGCCGCCACCACCACGGCGGCGTCTGGTGCTTGTTTCGCCGCTGCCGTCCCCGTGCGTTGGGCGTCCTCTCTTGTGAACGGCAACGCCTCGACGCTCACGCAGCAGCGGCGCTTTATGGAGGGGGCGGACGCTCGCTCCTCCGCGTCGGTGGTCGTCGTC